TTATTAGTTACTAAACTATCAATGGGATAAAAACACAATTTTTCAAGGTTATGACCAAACAGACCATTTTTGTTGCTAGTATTGATAAAGGCATACAGATTCCTTGGGTAAGCAATATGGGAATGCACACTAAATGTCATTAAAAATGGTCTTGTAATTTGATCAAGTAATCCAGACTTAACATTTGTCTTTAGAAAATATAAAAGAAGTCTGGGTGCTATGGCTTACACCTGTAATTCCAACAGTTTGGGAGGCCAAGTGAGTGGATCTCTTGAGCCCAGAAGTTCCAGAACAGCTTGGGCAATATGCCAAGACCCATATCTCTACTAAAAAAAAAAAAAAAGAAATGCTGGGCGTGGTGGTGTGTACTTGGGGTCCCAGCTACTCATTTAACCCTACATAAGGTGGGTGGGAGGGTGAGGGTGGAGGAGGCTGCAGTGAGCTGAGATGGCACCACTGCACTCCAGCCTGGGTGACAGAATGAGACCCTGTCTCAAAAAAGAAACAAAAAAAAAAAGAATATATAACAGAAAAATTGACAAGCAATAGGATAATTATTGCAATGATAACTTTTCATATAAAACCAGACTCAAACATCAAAAATATAAAAAGAGGTAAGCCCATCATCACTGGTCATTAGAGAAATGCAAATCAAACCCGCAATGAGACACCATCTCACACCAGTTAGAATGGCGATCACTAAAAAGTCAGGAAACAACAGATGTTGGAGAGGATGTGGAGAAATAGGAATACTTTTATACTGTTGGTGGGAGTGTAAATTGGTTCAACCATTGTGGAAGAACTGTGTGGCGATTCCTCAAGGATCTAGAACTAGAAATACCATTTGACCCAGCAATTGTATTACTGCATATGTACCCAAGCGATTATAAATCATTCTACTATAAAGACACATACACACGTATATTTATTGAAGCACTGTTTACAATAGCAAAGACTTGGAACCAACCCAAATGCCCATCAATTATAGGCTGGATAAAGAAAAGGTGGCACATACACACCAGGGAATACTATGCAGTCATAAAAAAACGATGAGTTTATGCCCTCTGCAGGGACATGAATGAAGCTGGAAACCATCATTCTCAGCAAACTAACACAAGAACAGAAAATCAAACAGTGCATATTCTCACTCATGAGTGGGAGTTGAACAACGAGAACACATGGACACAGGGAGGGAAACATCATACACTGGGACCTGTTGGGGGCTGGGGAGCTACAGGAGAGTAAGCATTAGGAAAAATACATAATGTAGATGATGGGTTGATAGGTGCAGCAAACCACCATGGCATGTGTATACCTATGTAACAAACCTGCACCTTCTGCACATGTACCCCAGAACCTAAAGTATAATAATTAAAAAAAAGGAGATAAGGATGATTTGATATAGCCCATCAAAATAATGGGATATCATGTTCTTAAACTTGGTGATTACATATACAATGTTCAATTTGTAAAGTACTTACAATAAAAACAAAAACCCCATGAACTTGGAGGGGATATGTAAGACATGTAAAATTGACAAAGCATTATATATAAGTTTCCTCAAATCATTGAAAAAAAAAAAGCAGAAAACTTAATAGAAAATAGTCAACGTTTATAAATAGAATCTGAATGCAGAATCTGAATGGCTCTAAACAGATAAAGTGACGCTCAACTTCAATAGCTATCAATGAAATACAAGTAAAAACGATATTAATGTAATGTTCTATGGATAATTACATTGGATAATGCTATATGCTGATAAAATTGTGGAAATAGAATCCCTTCTATATTGCACATTGAACTGGTATGAATTGGTTCACTAATTCAGGAGAAAGCGTGGCAACAGTAGTCAGTAGATTTACAAATGTGTGTGACTAACCACTGAGCAATCCTGTACTCCTGGAAATATTCCCCTGAAAAAATTCCAAACAGTTTCAAAAGAAACAATATGTGTGATTTATGAAAATGTTGTTTAGAATGAAAGGAGTTAGAGGCAACTTAGGTGTCCACAGCTGGGAGACTGTGTAAGTAAAAATTCATATATAGTCATGCTTCACTTAATGATAAGGATACATTCTTGAGAAGTGTGTTCTTAGGTGATTACATGACTGTGCAAACATCATAGAGTGTACTTATACAAATCTAAGTGGTGTAGCCTACCACACACTAGGCTATGTCATAGCCTATTGTTCCTAGGCTACAAACCTGTATAACATGTTACTGTACTGAATACTGTAGGCAATTGTAACATAGTGGCAAGTATTTGTGTATGTAAACTTATCTAACCATAGAGAAGGTACAGTAAACATCAGTTTTACAATCTTATGGGACCACAGCTGTATATGGTGTCCATCACCGATCAAAATGCCACCATATGCCACATGACTATACATAAACAAAGGCAAAGTGGGCATCAATGAACCAGATTTAAAGACATTCATGTACTGCATAAAAACATTTTAGTCAACAATGGACGACATATAGAGATTTAGTTCTATGAGATTATAATGAAGCCAAAAAATTCCTATTACCTAGTAACATGATATTCTTCATAATGTCAAGTGCAATGCATTAACTTTTCCATGTTTAGGTATGTTTAGATACACAAATAACATTGTTACAATTGCCTACAGTATTCAGCACAGTAACATGCTGTAAATGTTTGTAGCCTAGTAGCAATAGGCTATATCATATACCATCTAGGTTTGTGTAAGTACATTCTGTGATGCTCACATGATGATTAAGTCACCTAAGGATGCGTCTCTTAAGACACATCCCCATCATTAAGAGATGCATGTTTGGATAGCACCATAGATAGCTGCCCAAGAGCTAACATTGAATGAAAGTAATAAGAAACATAATAAGGTTTATAATACAAAAATGTTTATGCTATATAGAATACATTCACACATATACAACTATACACTATTTTCTGAATGCCACATATATAGCTAAATATAGACATATATGGAGAATGAGTTTGATAAACACACATTAAATACATTAAAATGAATGTCCACAGGGGATTGAAGTAAGGATTGGAGACTAAAATAAAATAAAATCAGCTAGGGATCTTGCCCAGAATGATGATAACACAAGGCCACAAATTGAAGGATATAATCAACTCAATTTTGTGTACCTGAGGTAACAACAGCAACAACAACAACAACAAAAAGGAAAACTAAAGCATAGAACTTTCAGCGGAAAAGGCTGAAAGAATGCATAATAGTATGCAAAGTGAAATAATAAAACAGAGTACAAACAAATGTTTATATGGATTTAACTATAACATGGAGATTATATGCAAATCGGAAAGTAACAGCAAATAAAAGAGAAATACAATGGTATACAGACTAATCAAAACTACCTAAAAACATATTCATGTGAGTTGGCTGGAGGAAAGACCCTGTTTTTCTCTGATTCCTCTTGACACTGCCTTCTAGATGTAAATTTGGTTTATGGAGGGGTTATGGGCAAAGATACTTTACAAAACCACACAGTAGAACCTCCTTCTGCTTACTTGAAATTATTTCTTTTAGGATCTCTCCCACTTCTTTGCAGGAGGCTGGAGAGTGGAACTGACCAATACTGCCACCTCCATTCTCCTACCAAGCTCTAGTGAAGAGCTGAACTGGCTAACTTAGATAATAAAGAGAAACTCTTTATTCCACATGGCTGATGAGGGAAGAAAGGGTCATGACTTACTCATCCTGATGAGAGGTATCATTGTACCTTCCACACCCCTTCCTAAATTGATAAGGGCATAATAAGGTCTAGGGGAAAGGAGAGCAGGCTGGGCTGCTCAAAGACTTCCTCCTGTTGTTCCTCCAGAACCAGACCACTCTCTAAGTCAGATTCACTACTGGGGCAGGGACTAGCCAAGTCTCTTAAAGCAACCTTGCATTTGGTCTTGTCTCCTGTGCATCTCTTGCCTGAATCCTTCAAGGGAGGGTGGCTGCAGGACCACTGCAGAGAAATAGTCCAGGTAAAGATTTAAGGTCCTGTTCGCTATCCCGGAATAAGACACAATATGGAGAAAAAATAGAGCTTGTTAGTTACAATCGAAAAAGCTATTTTAAGTAGTGAAATTATAGATGATTCCCTCCAAATTTTACTTTGTTTAAAAAAATATATAAAATTCACTATAGCCATCAAACAAAAGCGGACTTTATTCTCTAGTGTTGACCAGAGTATCATTCTAGTAATGAATTTTATTATACAACAAACAGATGTCCCATTGTGTAGCCAATTAGTACGTTTATCCTATATAATTTTAATTGTTAGTAACACATTTATGAGTAAATGCCTTGTCTCTCAATTTGAGAATTTTCTACAAATTTGGTGGCTTGCATATCACCCAGCACAAAGCTAAGTATATAACAGAACCAATATGAGAAATAGCAAAAATTCTAAAATGGAGGTGATTATTTCTAAACATACCATATATACAACACAATTATCATCTTTCTTTACCTTCCTATCAACCTTATTTATTTTCTTCAAGGTTTTTGTTGTTGTGGTCTGAAGAGTTCTTATTTCCTTTTCAAATTTCTCTCACCTCTGTATATGATGCTAATTTTATTTTATCAATTTCTATTTTGAGCTGCAAAAGTGGTTCAAATCCTCCATCCTTCAGGAAATTATTCTTGCAAGGTATTGTACAGAGACTTTTATATATTGCAGATGAATGCATTCATCCCCTAATCCTTTACTCATGGAAATCAAGAATGATTCTTATTTCTTTTCAGTTTTTTATGAGTTCAAGTTCAAGGAGGACAAAAAGCATCTCATTTATATGTTCTGTACAACAATATAGAAGGTAGTGCCTTTCTTTAAAAACTGTAATTACATTAAAAATAATATTGATCGTAACGGTAGCAGAGGAGACTGTTCTAGTTTAATACCATAGGGCCTCACTTTCCAAACAATACTAGTGGCACAAGTTGAGGATATGAGGAACCAGCATAGTTATATAAGAATGAATTAAAGAATTTTATTACCTTAGTTTCTTTCCTCCATCTGCAATTTTAGCTTTTTGAAGATAACCTTCTTTTTCAACCATCTGCAAGAAGAATGCATATGTTAAAACTGTGACAAACTACCATGCGTTGTTGGTTTGAGTAAACCTGTGCTTTTCAAGAGTCATTACAATGATGGAAGTTTTCAGTCATAGAACTTTATTAATAATGCATACATAGCTTATGGGAACTGCCTGCAAAGTCATAGTCATTACAAGCTGTTAAATATCTGAAAGACAAATTATGAAGAAGAATGTGAATGATTTGTTAGATAGTGATACACCTTTATTGACTTTTCTCTCTGGGCATTGAAGTCACTTGTTTAAAAAATTGATTACAAATGGTAAAAGAAAGACAAATTGAATACCTTCCTTTATTTTACCAAGTATCCTTAGAAAAGTCCTTCCTTTCTAACCTCCCCATGTACCTTCTGAAGCCAGGATAAAGGAAGACTCCAATGGGAGCAGCTGAATCATGGAAGGGCATTTAAAATAGCAGCATTTTATATGTTTTGATCAATTACCAAGAGACCCTGTAGGATCACAATCTCATTGTCTTCTTCCATGGTGTAGGATTGCTTGCTTTGCCTATTTGCATGCACTGTCCTGGCTTTCATTGCTAATACAGCTGCAAGTTTCTTAAAGAAAATGTAATATGTCATTTTAACTCTGCAGAAGTGTTTGTGGAGTTTTGGACAAAATAAATGCACAATGCAAATTGTGACCTGTTGACTCCCTGCAAAGTCTATGTTAGGTATTTTAATTTCTTAGCATCGTATTTCTTCCCCCCTCTGTCTGCCTCACATACTCTATCCCAAGCCATTAGCCTGTGCTCCATCTTTCACTCAGTGAATTGCCTACACCCTTTTCCCTGACCTGCCTAGTAACAGAGGACCACAACTCCATCAGTGTCACCCCATGTTATTCCCGCAGCTGAAGCATTCCACTGTGACCATGTCTTCATCTCAAAAGCCTTAAGTATATTTAATCTACTTCAAAATTCAATTAGTAAAACCTGGCACAGTGGCAACTGTCTATAATCACAACTACTTGGGAGGTTGGGGTAGGAGAATCTTTTGGTCTTAGGAGTTTGAGACCAGCCTGGGCAGTACAGCAAGAACTCCAGCTCAAAAAAATTAAAAAGCAGAAAACCGAATTTTAATGTGTATATTTTTTATTAGAGGATCTTTCCATGATTTATCTGCCATCTCTTTTAGGTGCACCATCCTGAATCTCCATTTTCAGTTTCCTCTTATCACTGTGACAGCACATATCAGATTATGTTGTAAATGTCTGCTTATTTTTCTGTGTCTACTGGCAAATAATGTGCTATGAGTCCATTGGAGGCAAAGGACTACTTTTACATGGGGATTCCTAGCTTCTGGAATATTTTGCTGGTACCAATAGCCAAAATAATAAAATTGTTTGAACAAATAAGTAAATGAATGGATATTTAATTTTTTTTCAGTCCTTATAGGAAACTGGGCAAGCCAAAAAAATTATCTGCAATGCTACAAGTGAAAGGGAGAGATATTTAGAGGTAAAGGAATTGTTCCGAATCACTAAAATCTCACTGGTTAAATGCCTATTTACAAGACTTGCTCTGATATAAGTGAGAATTTTTCTGCCTTGTTTATTGTTTTTTCCTAATACATAGCACAGGATTTAATTTTAAAATGCATTTGATGAATACGTTTTTGACCAATAAATAATGATAGAGATAACAATGATGATTTATGAGAATCATAGCAAAGTGTTTTTTACTTATCTCCACATCCAGAAAGTTTCTTTTACTTCACTGTGTTCTCCACAAGTCTAAAGCATCTGAGGAAGCTTTCTTGGATAACTTTTAGAATCATGGTATTCACTGGTGCCTTTTTGTATTTGGATACATCTATTCATTTGCTTTTTCCACATTATATTCTATACATACTGTCCCTTTTTCTTGGTGCCAGGGAATTTTATTTGTCTACCTCATAAAACCCATATAATAAATTTAGTGTTTAACTCTGGGCATCACTGGTATCCATGAATGTTTGGAAGAAAGATCTTTTCAATAGCAATTAGCACCACAGAGGAGGTCCCTTTCTTTAGGAATGTATACTGAGAAATTTTGTTGTGTAATCATAGAAAATGGTTATTGTTTTCAGCTTTCTTCTGATTAAAAATTATCCAAAACCTGGATTTATCTACCACAAAACTACAAAACCTATCAACCTCTCATAAAAATTGATGCATGCGTTCTCAGCTAATAATATTGCCCCATTTTTTCCCAAAAATTCACAAAAGACCCCTCAGTAGACATTTGTTACCCACAAAGATAAATTATTGATGAAAATGTCTCTAAAATAGATGAGAAATATGAAAGGAAAAAGCTAATACTCTTATAGGGAGAAATCAACACAAACAGGTTTAAGGTATAGACCATAACATTCTCTTTCCTTGAATACCTAAGTAACATTTCCCCAGACACTGTGGGACCTTTCCCAGAATACTTGAGACTGAGACCAAGGGCTGGATTTCTCAAGTTAAGGCTCAATAAATGTGACATCATTGTCATGAATGACTGAGCCAACTCCATGGTCTTGGATCAATGCAATAGACTTTCCAGGAATGACCACACAGGGGTCCCAGGAAAAATGAGAAAGAACTGAACAGCAAGTTATTTATCTTCTCTTGTATCATTTTCCAAAGTCCAGGCTGCCTTCCAGGTCATTAGAAGAAGCTAATAACCCCTCTGCTATGTTCCATTACCTACTACACTTGCTACCACCATGCATATCTGTTAAATGTTTACATGCACTTTTCTGCATGTAGTATATCTATGTCCTACTACCATGAACACATTCTCACATCTGAGATCAGGTGTTTATTTTCCTTCATTGTCTTTTTAATACTTGATGCACTTATTCATTCTTTTCAACACATATTTAATTAATAACACTTCCTTCCTCTAAATGCCAGCTTCTCTGCTCACAATAGAACTGCAAAGATTAATAGGACAATTTAAATCCTCTTGACTCTTAAACTCCTGTGAGTTCATATTCAAGATATTCCTGCTCCTCTTTTTTGAGGGACTGGGTACCGTGCCTCGTTTAAGTCATCTCAGAGACTCAGGCCATCTTTTAGCCTGGATAGAAAATTCCAATTATGGTTTCTACAATGAAATCACTGTATTGTTTAGTTCTCAGGCTGGAAAGTGAAGCTTCCATGAGGTAGAATTAATTACTTTACTATTCCTTGTCATCATAGTTTAAAATACGTCACCATGTTTCGGGCACCAGAAATCAGTTATTCTGCGAGGCTCATAGTGCGCTGAAAGAAGTATTAGGGCAAGCAAAAGATTGCTATGCATTTTGCATGTGGATTTATAAATGGTACCTTACTAATTACTCTAATTAATTATTTCTACCGAATGTTAATTCCATGGTTTCAAGGGACAATGATCTATAAATTACAGCTGAACATGCTGGTCATCTAGGGCTCAGATGGTCTTGTCTCCAGTAATTTACAAAATTACTTACAGCTCTAGGTCTAAGTTTAGGATTCTACATGCCAAATTCTAGGCCAAATTGAAGTTCCTTAAAGCTGTAGCAGTCCCTAAACTACGTATACTTAAGAAATGTCAACCAATCTTTAGATGCTAAATCTGGCTTCTTAAGCTATTTGTCCAATGTTCCTTAGAAGCCCTATTTAACATTAAATGGCTGGAAAGATCAGCAATTTGTTTAGATTGGATGCCAGTCAGTCTGCAAGCATTGAGTAAGTGCTCGGCAGACACAGCCGTGATGAGATACAGATGAGAAGAATGAATGGTTGTGGGATATACAGATAGCACCTGTTTATCAACCTATGTTGGAGGCGACAGACAAGACAGAGGAGCAGAAGACAACCTTTGATTAATGGTAACAGTCATAGCAGAAAGACGAGCCTGTTAACTGTACATGCAGACACTGCAGTTTTTTTTTTTTTTTTTTTTTATGAGAAGACGTTTTGTTGTTCTCAGATACAATTGCAAATAATAGGTTTTCATCTACACTATTCCACCAAAGGATTCTGTTAAAATAACGCTTTCTATTTATAAATGGAAATAAACTTAATCTGTGACTTTTACCAGATTTTGATGAGAAGGATTTGGCTTTTAACACGAGAACCACATGGCCTTTGTGCCTCATAACATTTTCTCTGCTGATTTATTTAAAGTTATTGTTCCCTTCCCCTTTGTTCTGATTCTGTGTTCATTGGCAACCATCAGAATCCTAATTTGGCGTCCTAGGTCCTTTGATGTAGAAAGCGGGTAACTTAAATAGTATCAGAATATTCCCTATTATGTACTGTGAGATAGACTCAAGGTATCATCATCTCAGTAAACACTGAAAATAATGATAAATATGATTTTTTTTTGGATCCACAATGCTGAGATGGGCCCCAGCTCTAAACTGAGATGATCCCTTTAAAGTAGCATCACCCTATGAAACCTTCTGTGTGACTGACTGACCTCTCTCTAAAAGAACTATGCATCATCCCTCTATAGCTACAACCCTGGGCCGCTATAATTATCAAGCAGATTTAGCATTTAATTATTTTCCGATTTAATAATGAGGCAGCTGTTATACTTTTTCTGAACTTTTAGTAGATCATAGTACTTTGCTGGTAATCTTGTCTGTTTCAATAATTTCTATTAAAGAGCACAGAATGAGGACACATTTGGTTACATTAATTTACCCCCAAATGATGCTTCACTTGCTTTCTTAAATCCCCTCCCTGCCGCCATTTTTTACTTCTCCACTATCCATAGAACTACCTACCTTATTTTTCTTTTTTCTATTGTTTTTGTTTTTTTGCCTTTGTCTTTAGGTTTCACTCTTTCTCTTCAAAACTCATTGCTTACATTTTCTTCTCAATATTCACTTATTCTTATACTGGCTCTGCCATTCATGCTGTATTTGATTTGTTCATTAATTAGTGAACTCACAGTGGGCATAATCCATTGAGAACAGAATCAAAAGCAGAAAAAAATACCTTAAAACTCCAGTTTATCTGTA